GGTGATGGTGCTTCTGTACCTTTCTGCTCTACTCAGCCTTCTTTAGAAAACCTGGTTTTCTTTGGCAGAGGGTTTATGATGAACACTGAGAGAGGGTATATAATGATTTTGGCTAAAGAAAAATAATGCTGTTAATGCAGCAATGTTTATTTTATTTTTAGCATCATGATGCAGGTCTCAGAGATCTTTGAAGTTTCACCCCCATCTGTACTTCTTTTTGGAGACCAGCAGCTTGTCACTGAGTGTTTTGGGAGGATTGAAATATCCAGAGTAATGACAGTCCCAACAGGTATCATTAATGCCCCCTATGAGGGCACATACAAATGCTGTGGTTTTGATTTAGCTGTTCTAAAAGCAGAAGTGCTTTAATACAATGGAAGAGAAAAGAAAAAAGGATAACGTCCAGCATGTAGAAGTCAATTTTGCAGAGTGGCTTTTATTGACTTATTTTTTTTTCTTTTGCTTTTACTTCCATGTGAGTCTGTTTTGCAAGGATTGCAGGGAGGTAATCCAGGTGTTGGCTGTGTAGGGGGTGAGGTGTCTTTCCTTGTGATGGTAAAGCTTTAACTGTGTGCTCAGCCCGTGGGAGGGCTGTGCAGCTTACAGACAGTATAATTTGCACATGACCACTGATTTCCCCCACAGTCTTCAAGTTTTATGGCTTGGTGCAGGTTGAGGGAGAAAAATTTACCAGTTCCAGACATGTGGAATTGGTACAAAAGGAGGAGAGCTGTAATGATTGCTTTTCAACAGGATTTGGGATAAGAATCAGCTTGCTCTAACTATAAAATGTGTGAAAAGACCGATGGGAGGCTGTAGGGTCTGGAGTGGCAATGCCATTTTTAATGCTTAAATGCTAACACCAAGCATAATCAGGAGGGTGAGAAACACGTAAGGAAAATGAGAAGCAAAACAAAGATAAACTATTTATTTTTGTGGGATATTCTTGACCTCTGTAAGGATGGTTGGTTGTGGAAACTTGCCAGTTTTGTAGTCAAGCTAAAATGTCCTTGTGAAAGTTTCCCAGAGTAGTTGTTTGGGTTATTCCTTGCTGGGTTACATTTTTGGGTGTGAATTTTTACACTTCCAACCTCTTTTGAAAAATGATAGTTTAGCAGACATCCACTGAGCGCTGGGAACCAGCCCCAGTGAGCATTTGACTTTTTGTCCCTGTAGTCTTAGGGCACATTCCTCGTTGGATTTTTCTCTGCTAATCCTGTTATTTCTTCAAAGTGGCTGCATCTCACTTTATTGTGTTTGCTGCAGCTGGGGGCTGTGGCTCATGGCTGACTTGTGAATGGAATGTGTCCCTTGTATCCCCAGACTTGGGGAATCAGATGAATCAGTTGATGATCTAACAGCATAGTTAAAAGAACAGGGCAAGAGGCTTAAGGTTAGTTCTTTACACACAGTAAATCTGTGGGGCAAGTTGGTGTTGGGGTTTTTTTTCTGCTGGAGTATGGGATTGTGGAAATTTGAGAAGCAGCAAGAGGCCTACAGCTGTAGGGACTGCAGAAATTCAGGTGGTTTTAAAATATTACTAAAGAAATCTTAAATAGTCTCATCTCTTTTTGAGTTGTGGCATAACTTCTCTGTTTCATCTTTAGGAGCACCAAGTGCTGAATAACTGTCTTAAACTTACTTGGAAAAAAACACCAAAAAACCCTTCCCAAACCTAAACCAAACAACCTGCAACACCAGCAACAACAACAAAAAAAGGGAAATAGAAGAACCTAACCAAAGAAAAAACCCCAGAAAACCCAGACTGACTAGTGCAGGGTACATACTTGGCATCTGTGGTGGTGGTGTTTTGGTTTTTTTTAAAGGAGAAAAACAAAATGTTGGAGCCTGTTTCCAGCATCTAATTTTATGACAGCGTGTGCTATTTTATCTTGTTTTGGCATTGGGTAGTTTGTATTTACACAGGAATTGTTGGGAAGGAGAAGGAAGGAGACTCTTAATTAGAGTGAAGCTAAATATGATAACTTTTCTTGTACCCAGTAAGAAATACAGACCTGCTTTCCATGTTGAACACACAGCTTTGCAACACTTAGCTTTGTTAGACTGATTCTTTTGCTTTTCTCCTTTTGAAATAAGAATTGTATGGTTTTAAAATTCTTGAAAACAACCCAAACAAGTTGTGTGCAGTTGTCTCAAAAAAAACGTAAAGCCTTTAATAGGAAAAAAAGTTTGTTTGCTTTTTTTTGGTTGTACTTATGTTGTTAGTTTTATTTTTTTAGGGGGTTTCAAATTATGTACTATTTTAAAAAATGAGAACTACGATGGGAATCTGTTTGAATTTGTAGTTGAAATCTGTACCAGCTTTCAGGGAGGCTGATATGGATGCTGGATTCTGGAATTATGGAGGAATGTTTTTGACATGATAAGGGGGAGAGGCATTTCCATAATTCCTGGGATTTCTCATGAGAAGACAGAAAGGAAAGGGAAATGCTGATGAACGATATTTACATTGCTGCTTTAATATTCCTGCCCCAGGAGTTGGTAGTGGAGCCCTCACTTTTTCCAGGGAGAAATCTGAGGTATCTGTGCCCAAAACCAGTCAGTTTTCATATTTCCTGTGGGTTGGATCCCCTCTGCTCTGCACAGCTGTGGCCTGTGATGATGGAGGCGAGATCTGAGCTGCTTTTCCTGAAGGTTTTGCTTCCTTACAGGCTCCTTTCTCCTTCTAGTAATAATGCTACTAATATAATAAGTAATTCTGTGGCACCATCTACTTAAGCATGTCTGATAAATTTATCTGATTATTGCCTGGTGTAATAAGGAGTTGGTAGCATCAGCCATCTGTAAAATGGAGATAAGGCCTCCAAATTTGATTGACAGAGCTTAAACAGGGAAGGGAGATCAGTGTTGTGATTTGCCACCTGTGCTTCCAGCCCTGGCATCGCTCTACTGGATGTGCTTACTCACATGTGAAAACTCTGTGCAGCTATCCAGGTACTTGGAATTTTGCTTTGGCTTTCATAAATGCATGATTTTGGAAATTTGGATGGAGGACTCTGGTAACTCCAGGGAAGGCAGATTTCTGCCCAGTTGTATCAATGGACTATTGAATGTTGAGCACTAACTGAAGCATGAAACACTAACTAAAGCATGAAGTAGAGATATTTTCTATTGCAGTTTTTCTCTGGGTAAGTTTCTCAACTCCCCTCGGTCCAAAGGCTATCTGACTTGTTGCAAAAAAAAAAAAACCAAAAGCCAAACAAACGTATTATGCAGTGTTTTCATAGCTGTTTTCTTTTACAACCAAACAAAAACTAGGCCATGCTTTGAATATTTCTTCAAACTTTTAGTCCTTGTCATCTTGTTGTCTTCTTGTTTGCATATGTATGTTTGTATGTATTATTTTTAACTTTTATATCAACTTGTTTTCAATTGTATCAGGCCACTTCCTGGTACCTTATTGACAACAGATTGAGAAACTGCTGTAGCAAAAAGCTGATTTTTATTTTGTCTGCTTCCCAGTGTTCCAGGGGACCATTCCATACCTCCTTTCTGTATCCACTTGCTGCTCTCTCTATATAAACTTTACTAGATAATGATCTGCTGAACCAAAGGGAATGTTTTCAAAATTAGCTGTTCTCCAGCAGAGAGTGCGTGATGGGGAGCGTTAAGTGTTCTGTTACAATGCATGTAAATCCTTTCACTGGCTGAACTCAGGAGCTCATACCAATGAGTTCCCACTATTATCCACCATTTCTGGCCAGGGCTCTTGAGGCTGTTCCCAAATAGGCTCTTTAGTAAGTAGAATGAAAAATGGGCTGAAGAATAGCTCCAGTATATGTTGCTCTGTAGGGTTAGTGTTAATGCCATGATAAGCATTTCCTAAAGCAGGTTAACAGCTGTTCCCAAGTCATTTTATTGTGTTCTCAGAGCTGTGTTTGTGGGTGTAGATTCACTCTGTCTTGTTGATACCAGGCATGCTGAGGTTATTAATTAAACAGTAATTATTCAAACTTTTTTGCATGGTTATCTGGGTTGTGTGATTTCACACATTTAGACAAGGTAGAGATGTGAAGAAGCTACAGAATATTTCAGGGAGAGCCAAGAGTGTGAACTGCTGATAAAGAGAAGACATGTCCTGTGGGTGATTTTTAGAAAGCAAATTTAGGGATAAAAACTGGGGAGAAATTACCAAGAAAGGGGCAACGTGGCTGAATTGTCAAAGGACTGTGGAGTCTTGCCTAGGGGCATCACTGTGTGGATGTCTGCTGGGTAATGGGGTTCAGACCTGTGAGGAACTTCAGAGTCCTCAGCATCAGTTTGGTTCTGGGACTTAAAGATGAGACAGTGAGGGTTTCATGATTCACCCTATACATCTTTTCTTCTCATCCATGTCTCTTGCCTGTGGGGTTTCAGGAGTTTATCAGACAATGCTGAGCCCAGTTCAGGGAGTGGTTTGTGCTGTTGTCCAGCAGAAAGATGGGAAGCAGAGACAGTGACTCAATAGGCAGGAGGAAATGTTGTGTTAGTGCAGATTGGCACTGCTTGGGGAATTAGCTGGGTGCATTTTGAGTTCCCCCCTTTGGGGGAGGCCTCTGCAACATCAGCCAGTGGCTGAGCATCACAGGAGGCTCTGGAATTCTCTGGAGGGAGGTGTGTGTGTGCATTGGAGGAGCAGCAACATCTGCTGTCCCCTGTCACATTTCACTGGTGTGTCTTGAGCAGTTAAACCCAAGACTTAGCAGGGTGGACACCCAGAGAGCTGCTGCTCTGGAAATCCAGGATGCCTTGTGCTCTACAGATGTTATCACTTCATCCAGCAATATCCCATGTCAACACTGAATTAGCTTGTATTATTTTACTGCAAATTTCTGGCAGGTAGCTGGAAATTTTTAGGAGCTGCTACATAGGTGGGGTTAGCAGCTGATATGTCTATTAAAGCAGAGGTGTTAAGACTTGCTTCTCTGAGTCACATTAGCAGGAATCTGAAGCCTGATGAGGCATGTGGGATAAGGTCATTTGTCCTGGATTTGGTTTGGTTTCATTAAGTCATTTGATGGAACAAATAGCAAAATGTGTTGTGAAGTCATAAATCTGAAGAATTAAAGATTGCTTGTTTTCCCTGTTTATCAGGGCCTAGGGCACATGAAGGAGCAGGTGGGAAATCCTTATCAGGAGGAGGTCAGGGCTTTCAAGTTAAGGCTATAACTTCATATCTTCCTTGAGTTAATCTGTTACCCAGTTAACAACTTTTTGAACTATGTATCGAAGCTGAAAGAAATGGTCTTTTCTGCTGTATTGTTACTGTGTTCTCAAAATTGCAGATATATTTAAGAACTTCTGCACGATGGCAAGGAAGGGATAATGAATCCTGCCTGGCTTTTCTAGGTACCATTCATTAGTGGATTTGACTTGCTTTATAAGAGAGCTTGTTCACAGTGTGCCTCTTAGAGAGAGGAAGCAACCCAGCTGCTCCATACTGGAGAGCAGAGCTCAGGTATGGGGTGAACAGAGCCCAGGGCTGTACCCTCGTTGTTCACACTATTTCCTGTGTGTGGAATGGGTAGAAAAGAAAGGATGGTTTTGAAAAACAATGTAAGCTTAGTTTACAGTCACATAATAGTTGCAGTTATGAAGTCAGGGTGAGAAAACAGGCTGCAGTCAGGCACTTGATAAGAGAACACTGAGTCATCAGCTTTGCCCTTTCTTTGATGTCATTTGTCCTCTGGGGCCACATTCTTAAGACCCATCTTTTTTCACTTCTGCATCTGAGAGTGAGTTACTGTCCAAAGCTGCCCAGTTGTGGTCAAATTCGTTGTCAAAAGCTGTTTTCTCTTCCATTGCTTGTAGCTGGAAAACATAGGTAAGTTTGAAAGATTTTGCCACAGCTTTCTGTGATTGAGGAATTGTTGGGTTGGTAGCCCTTATCAGGAACCTTTTCCCTCTGCTTTGGAACTTAAGTATATTGACATAGTAAATTACTGTAATTCACGCTCACTGTAGCACACTGTCACAGAGTTTAATAAAATTATGTCAAGTGAAGTGTCTCCTTCCTTTGTAACAATGTGCAAAATTAATGGATTAAATTTCTGCAGTGTGGTAAAATGACACATTTTTCTTTCCTTCCATGAGTTGTTCTAGGCAGGATTCAAAAGTGCTGAGCAAGGGTTTCGTTCATTTTGGCAGATCCTGCTGTGGTGGGAGCTGGACAGACAGGAAATGCAGGCCTCTTAGCTGATTCACAGAACAAATTTGGCCTGTGATTCTTTGCTTGGAGATGTCTCTGACTCGATATAATTGGAGGTGCTCCTGGGTGTTGTGAGCAGGGAGGTACCGGTGATGTGAACGTGTGAGGAGCAGCATAACCTCCCAGGGGAGTGGCCTGCCTGGGCTTCTGGTGGTGTTGCACCACTCTGGCAGCACCAAGCAAAGGAACGGAATATTTTAAGGCTACTTCTTTTACTGTATCTTATCAGGTCTACTATTTTTTCCCTTTTTGTGTTCTAGATTTGGCAAAGCCTCCAGTAAATGAACCAAGGGAAGCGGAACAGTTTCTAATGCAGACGCCCCAGGGAAATCCACTGCTGCTTTCCCACACCCTCCAAGAGCTATTGAGCAAGGACAGCGTGCAGGTGGAGCTTATACCTGAGAAGAAGGGACTTTTCCTGAAACATGTGGAATATGAGGTTTCCAGCAAGGTAATGTGAACAAGCTTTGGGCTTGCTGAGAATGTATCCTCCTCAGAATGTCTGTGCAGTTTCTGCTGGTGAAGTCCTGAGAGATTTAGATGTGCTGGGTGATGCTGGCTTTAAGTAGACCAGTTGTGTGGGCTGATTTTTAATGCAGTAGCACTGGGCCATCCTGACTCTGCAGCATGGAACATCTAACTGAGCTGTGAAGGATGATCTGCAAGTTCACTTGCTTGAAACCTGAGCTCTGTACAAAAGCAGGTTTATGACAATGGAAACGGAACCATTTTGTAACAAATTGGCGTAGGTAGCTAGATACCTCAAACCAATTCGAGCTAGTGAAGAAATTGCATTTACAGTGCAAAAAAAAAGAATTGTGGAGGTGCTGCTGTCTAAGCTGTGCAGTGATTTATCCCCCTGGTTAATTGCAGCGATTCAAGTGCTCGGTGTACAGAAGATACAACGACTTTGTGGTGTTCCACGAGATGCTGCTGCAGAAGTTCCCCTACCGCATGGTGCCAGCACTGCCCCCAAAGAGAGTGCTGGGAGGTAAACCTGCATCTGCATTTTGGGCTCCAGGGGGTTTGCTTCGTGGTGCAAGCATGATACTGTTGAAAATAAGTGTTTAAAAGATTGAAAGTCTTGGCTTCTGCTTGCCTCAGACAACTTTGAGTTTGTAATACACAATTCAGAGGCGTGAATTACGGCCATGCTAGAAATTCCTATAGGAATGCAAAATTTCAGTGGGGTTTCTTCCTTTGGAATTTCAGTATTGAATGATTTTTCTTAATAAGATTTTAGGTGTAATTCTACACAAGAGCATAGCAGAGTTGCAGATATTGCTTCTTAGAAAAACAGGTTGTGATGATCATTGGTTAGTGGTGGACATGGCAGTGTTAGTTTAACAGCTGGATTCAGTGATCTTAAAAGTTCTTTTCCAACCTAAATGGAATTTGTGTCAGTTCATTCAAGTATGCTTTAGCAGTTAGACTAGAAACCAAGAAGTAGCCCAAGACAGAAAGCAATCAAAGCTCCCTCAGGAACATTTTTTCATTAATCTCAAATATTGACACTGGTTTTAGGCATTTTTTATTTCAAAAGTTGTATAACTGTATAAAATCCTGTCTTGTTTATACTTTATGTGTGAAAGAACAAGCTTTTCAGTGTCTTCTCTCCTGCTAAGCTCACTATGTTTCAACAAATAATTGATTTCAATTGAGAAGTCCATGTATTGCTCCAGTAAATCAGAATTGGTAAACAGTGAGCAGAACAGGGTCTATATTGAATTGAAACAAAGCAAAATCACACCCCTGAAAAGCTTCAATGGTGGTACATTCTTATGATTGGATGTGAATTGCGAAGACTTTTTGGGAGGTTGTGAAACCCATGGGTGAGTTTAACCTGATTCAGTGTTCTCAGCCAGAATTTCCACTTCATGCAACACATGTGAGGAAAGACCTTCTCTGATTAATCTCAGTGGGCAGAGGATGCTTGGAAGAAGTTCTGTTACTTGTCAGGCACTTTTATTTCCTTGCATTGCTGGTGTGTTGATATTTCCCTGCATTCACTGGTGCATTTCTCCCCACACATACCATAACTTCAGGAAAAGAACTGATAGGATTAGTTGTCAAACTGTGCTAGGAGAACAGTTCTAATACAGTGCAAAGCTGTGATAAGGCAGAGTGTTGTTTGCCTTTAGTCCAGTGACTAAAGAAGAACTGTGGAAGTGGGCTTAATGCAAACTGCAAACAGGAAAAAGGAAAGGGAATGGGTATTTCTTGTTTCTGAGTAGATGAATGGACTGATAAATGGTGTTGCAGGACACAGGATTTGATGGATTAGTATAGATGCGTGACTCTTGGAGCCTCCAAGTCCCAGACCTGGATGGCCAAAGCTCTGTGCTGTATCCTTGGTGTGTCCCTCTGCTGAGTTACACGGATCCCAGTGGGGGTCTGTCAGATGGAGATGGATGACCTGCCCTGCTCGTTTGGGGGACAGCAACCACTGAGGCAGATCCTGTGGGAAGTGTGTGCACGACTTCAGAAATGTCTGCGTAGGTTAAGGGTGAGCAAAGCGAAATCAAGATCTGCAACCCCAAAGGCAGAAAAATGAATTGGTGGGTGGTGCTGTACTGAGGATCACCTGGGAGAGTCCTCACAGCCAGCAAACTGCCAGCTTAAAACTGTGGCAAAAGAGTAAAAATCCTTCATGATATGGGAGTGTTGTCATGCATAAGAGCATTCCTTCAATTTCTTTCTATTTTCTGCTTTCTTTTTCTTTAATCTTTGATTTTTTTATTGTTCCTGAAGAACTCCAGGAACTTTGATTTACTTCCTTATTGAAGTTATTGCCAGATTGAAATTCTTCCTGTTTCAGCAAGAGGAACAGATTTTTTTTAGTTTGACAAGTAAAGACTCTGCATGGATGTACTGCAGGCTGCTGTGCAAGTCTTCCAAGACAAGATGTCACATCTTGCATGAAAAGAATGGATGCTGATCTCAGGAATCCCAAGACAGGCTGGGATATCCTCTGTGGAATTGATTCAGGGAAAGAAGAATCTCTGTAGGCCCATAGTTTGTAAGTGGAGTTTTCAGGCCTTAAGCTTGGTTGTTTGTCCCTCCTCCCTGACCTACCCTGTGAAAATAACCACGTGTAGCTATGTATGCTGGGTTTTGGTAAGAGGTAAAGAACACTTGACAGAATATTTGTTGAGGTGGTCAGTCTGAAAGGTCTGGTCTTGGGAGCTGACAGACTATTGCTGTCCATTCTTTGGTTTTTGTTGCAGTGCTTCCTTTTTTCTTTCTGAGATGTCATGTGAGGGACATTATCCGAAATCTCATGTTTCTTCCTGCAGCTGATCGTGAGTTCATAGAATCGAGGAGGAGAGCGCTGAAGCGATTTATAAACCTGGTGGCTCGACATCCCCCCTTCTCAGAAGATGTGCTCTTGAAACTCTTTCTGTCCTTCAGTGGCTCAGTGAGTGTTTGTTAGCAATAGTCCTGAGCTTGCAAGTCTGGCTGTAACTGCCTCGCTGGGCACAGCGTCCAGGATTGCTGTTAACCTGCATGGGTTTGCTCCCTGGGATGAAGAGAATTTTCTCTCAGTAGGTGTTTCCACAGTGGAAAGTGGAAAGTAATTTCACTGAATGCCAGGAGTGTAGTATTTTGAAAATTATAACTGTTCTTAGGGGAACAGAGATTATGCTTTTCCTTAAATTAAGTCTAACCTGGGTAAAGCTGTATCTGCTGAGCTGTGCCTTGCTGCTGCAATAGATCTGAGACTTGCATGAACTGCCTGTGTTTGTTCATGCTCATTTGATTCTTTATTTTTTCCAGGATGTACAGAATAAGCTAAGGGAATTGGTCCAGGGAGTAGGAGATGAATTTGTGACTTGCAGATTAGCTACCCAGGCCAAGGTATGTATATGAATTTCTTGCAACATATTATTCTGGTTTAAATGCCTTTCTTCCCCAGGTGCTTCAGTTATGGCATTTGTGCAGTGATGGACACCTTAAGTAGGAGATATTTGTTTCCAGAGTTTGAAGGACTTGTAATTTTATTGAAAAGATCAAATAAAATTTTGACTCTTAAGGGCCTGATATTTCTAGCTAAATTCTGGCTCATGAATATGATATAGATTAAACAATGAATCCTGCTCAGAACATGTTTCTCTGTAATTACTTGTACTTGCATAACAAATAAATGCACAAATTGCACAATTTAGAAGGTAATGTGTAGATTGATGTCTTTCCCTTGTGCTCATGCCCTCATTCTGTCTGTTCTCTCCCTGTGGGAGAGATTTAGACTGTTATGGAAAAGCTAGTTGTAAGTTCTCCATATATCTGTTTATCCCAGTGATTACTGCTATGACAAGTTTTAACTACACATCCACTGTGTTCATTGAGCAATTGCAAAGCAAGTTGTTGTTCAGGTTCCTGCAGTGCTTGCAGAAGGTTTTGCAACTGGAGCTTAATTCAGGCTTTTACCAGTGATAAACTGGTGAAAAAAAGCTGAACTTTCAGTTTGTGCTTGACTTTACTGGATGGGGAGTTACCAGTAGGATCAGATCAGAACTTGTAAGCTTGAAACCTCACAAACCTTCTTTTAACTACATAGGAGAATTGCAGATTTTGCCCACTCTGTCTGTGCTGGGTATTTGAACCCCTTTCTGCCTCTGAAAATTGGGGCTGTTTGTGTGACATGTGACTTGGACACCTAAATGGGAAACTGATCTCTGCAGAGTTGTTAGAGCACAGTGGAAGAGTGTGAGCACAGGAGGGAAGCCTGCACCTCTGCAGAGTGTGGCGTGCCTCTGATTTATCCACCAGTAATCCCTCTGTACTCCTTCAGGACTTCCTCCCAGCTGACATTCAGGCCCAGTTTGCTGCCAGCAGGGAGCTGATCAGAAATATTTATAACAGCTTTTATAAGCTCCGGGACCGCGCGGAGAGAATCGCTTCCCGAGCCATCGATAACGCCTCCGACCTCCTCATATTTGGGAAGGAGCTGAGGTAGGCTTGGAGCAACAGGATTTGCTGATTTCTACTGTTGGTTAGACCTTAAAACTGCTGTGAAGTTTACCTGCAAATGTTTTGGTAAAAAGGGGTGTTTCAGTGCATGTGGTAGGACATAATCAATTTTCCTTTTATAAAAGAAGGAAATACACACTTTTCACCAAGGCTGCATTCTGTAGAGTGAGGAATGAAAAGAGAAATACCTTCACATTCAGGTACTTGTGTTATTGTCTCTCTCCCCAGTATGTACACAGTTTACTCTGCATTTGTGATAGGACAGTAGTAGCTCAGCACTGTGGGCTGTTTGGACACATTTGAAGCTGCTCTCTGCAAATATCTTTATCTGCTCAGTGGAATTTGTCTCCTAGATGTGACTGTTGCTTTTCTCCTTGCAGTGCTTTGGGCTCAGACACTACTCCACTTCCTTCCTGGGCTGCTTTGAACAACAACACATGGGGGACTCTGAAACAAGCCTTGAAGGGTCTGTCTGTTGAATTTGCACTTTTGGCAGATAAGGCTGTGCAGCAGGTGAGTCCTTTACTTTTGTCCCTTTTTTTTTCCTTTTTGTAACATGAATGAAGTACACTGCTGCCCTAAATTTTATCTTGAATCAGGAGCTCTGTGGACATAAGCTCTTCAAGAGTTAAGAGGGAGACTGCAGTTCAAACACATTCTCAACCAACAGCCTGCTTGTTCAAGCTTGTGTGAAATACCTGTTTAAATGGGGAAAAAATGTAACAGGCAATGGAAAGGAAGGAAAAATCTGCTTTCCTTCTTACTTTTAAATGGTTACTGCATACATTAAGTTCACTACTAGGGTGAGCTGTCCAAAAGTCCTGTGTTCCATGTTATTAATCTGCTACAGAGAACCCAGAATAACTTACTTCTGAATCAAGTTTTCCCATTCATGTACTTAAACATTACACAAGAATCATTCAGACAGAAGCATCACATTCCAGTTTAAGTGTACAGTGTGGTAATGACTGTCAGAATGATGTGAGAACACGACAGTCTGGGAAGGAAAAGTAATAGTTTTGTCTTCAGTGCTCTTCATCTCATTGTGTTAAAACAGTCAGTGTGCTTTTGTAGATCAGTCAGGCCAGGTCTCTTTCTCTGGAGTTTATGCTCCAGAGAGCTCTATTGATACAGGAAGAAAAGAGTATGCTATAAAATAAAAAAATTGGCAGTGAAATTTGTCTTGGTGTCTCATCTCTGCCTTCTGATGCATGAACTATTACGGGGAACATGCAGGTATTCAGAGTTTTAATGGATTAGTTATCTTGTAGGAAGGGAAGATGAAAGATTGGAGGAATCTGCAAGAGCAAGGAATTCCAGGCAGAGTGTGCTGAAAGGACTGACACACAGGCCTGTGAAACCAACTCCTCTTGTTCTAATGATCAGTCAGTTGGAAAAGCTGTTCCTGCCTCAGTCAGGTCTTTGTTCTGCACACTGAAGACTAAACACTCCAGTGCCATTGGAGAGATTTTTGATGCAGTTGTGTAAGCACTGATGTGCCCTGGAGAGAGCACTGAGAGCCTGCGTGGTGGGGGGGGGTGAAGGGCTGTGATGCCAGGCTTACGTAAAATGTACTTTTTCCTTGTTTTCTAGGGTAAACAGGAAGAGAATGATGTGGTGGAGAAGTTGAACCTTTTCCTGGATTTACTCCAGTCCTATAAAGTGAGCTCTGCTGTTCTGCCAACAAGAAAGTTGTTTAGAGCAAGTTTGTGCTCTTTAGAGGGTGTAACGCCAACTGGATGGAAAACTGTCTGTGAGGCCAGTTCAGAGGCAAACTGGGCATCTGGCAGAGGGAGGGGAGTGGCTGTTGGCCACAAGGAGCTCTGTAGCCTTCCTGATAGCTCATCTGATGATGAGAACTTGCCAAAGAGCAAAAACAAATTTGACTGGTTAAACTGTATGGATTCGCTAACTTTTTGGTTTTAGATTTGGCTGCTTTTGAGTCAAAGCAGTGAACTAGATTGCTACTGATTTGCTCATGGAGACATGAGTTCAGTTATGAATGAAAGAATTTTGTTAATACTAATCTTCTGGTCAGCTGTACGTGGCAGCCTTTCCTGACATTCCCAGGCCAAGAGTGAATTTGAAGGACTTGAGCCAGCACTTTAATTAATTGCCAGCACCTTAATACTGAAAAGGTCAGAAAAGATAAGAGGCCTGATAAGATCCAGAATGTTGGCAGAAGTGATGCTCCAGGTTGCCTCTTAAGCTCACTGGTCTGAGTTCAAGCAGTTTTGTTTCTTAAATTCTTAGCTACTGGCATTTTTTGACCCACTTGAAAACAAAAGAGCAAAAATCTGCAGTGTAGAAACAACACTAAGTGTGACCACACGTGTGTGTTCCTGATGTACTTTGCTGTGTGTTGGCTGACTCTTGGCTCCACTGCTGTTTCCTTTTTCCATAAAGGACCTGTGTGAAAGGCATGAGAAGGGGGTATTGCACAAGCACCAGCGAGCGTTGCACAAGTACAGCATGATGAAGAAGCAGATGATGAGTGCCACTGTGCAGAACAAAGAGCCAGAATCGGTGGAGCAACTGGAGTCTCGGATTGTGGAGGTAGGGCAGGCACCTGAGAGCCAAGGGTGGGACTGGGCTCTGTAATGGTGCTGCTCTGGAACTCAGCCACATTTGCAGACAGTTTTTGGACTGAAAGGGTAGCCTGTACTTTGGGAAATCTGTGCTACCTGCTGTGCCATCTGGAAAATGTGTTGCTTTTCCTCAACACTTGTTATTGGCTCTCAGGCAGCACGTCATTTGCAGGAGCTGTGGGAAGCAGCAGTCTGCATGATGGAAAGGGCAATTCCTATTGTATGAAATGGGTCCAGGAACTGCCTTTTTAGGGTTTTGGTTTGTGTTTGAATTGCTGGTATGGGGAGGAATGTTTCTCCTTTCTCCCATCCTCTTCCTGGTCACCGAGTTCCTCTTCTTTCAGCAAGAAAACGCGATCATAACCATGGAGCTGCGGAATTACTTCTCCCTGTACTGCCTGCACCAGGAGACACAGCTCATCCACATCTACCTGCCTCTCACATCTCACATTTTGGGGGCCTTTGTCAACTCCCAGATTCAGGGTCACAAAGAGGTGAGTTCTGAACTGTGTCCTTTTTCCCAAAATAGGAATGAGAATTTGAATAGATTTGTTTTCACCCATTTGCCTTCATCCTCTAATCATCTGTGCAGTTGGGCTTTTTCTTAACTTGGGAAGTTACCGAAGGTTTTTCCACTTTGGAGTGAAGATCAGGGTCGGCCTCTAACCCCTCTAAAAGATGGTAACTTCTTGCAGCAAGTTTGTTTTCTTCTTTTATTCTCTCATCTGTAGCTGGCCCTACCCTGTGAGTAGTTGAAGAAGACCCAGCCATTCAGTGTCTACTCTGTAATGAATGATGTGTGTTTGCTAGATTAATCTGTTTTTTTGTTGAGCTACACAACATATTGTATGACAAGAAAATTTTCCAGGTTTTGATCTAAAACTTAGAAACTCCTTTTTGTTAAACCCTAAATATGGCCTTTAATATTCCCTATATACAAACTTTCTTGCTTTGGTTATATTAGAAAAGTCTCTTGTCCTTCAGCTCCCTTCTGTCCCTTCAGTGAAGGAATTTGATGAAGGGAAATCTCCCTTCCATACAGGCTCAGGAAAATGTTCATGGAGCTGCACTGGTCTGGCAGGAACCTTCTGGGTCCACTGAACTTCCTGAAAATACTTCATACAATTTGTCTTGTGCTTCTGAGTGCCTGAGACTGCTGCTAAAATTCTGTGTGGTGAGATTGTTACCTGCTGTGTGGTCATGTCTGCTTTCTCTCCTTCTCCACTCACAGATGAGTAAAGTTTGGAATGAATTGAAGCCGAAGTTGAGCTGCCTTTTTGTGGGATCCAGCAGTATGCCAACTCCACCACTGTCACCTCCAGAGGGAAACTTCTTTTCCAATTAATGTTCCAAGCGTCCCACACGGAGCAAGAAGGGCAATCAACGAAGGGGTGGGACCTCTACCTCCAATGAATCCTCCAAACAGCTATTTTTTTTTTTTAATATTGCTGCTTTGAGCTGTTCTCTGATTTAGACAGACTGGATGTGGGGCAGAACATATGGATATAGAGACAATTTTGTAATATTGCAATGCCCTGGGGCAGAGCTGATGTTCATTATCCTGCAGACACTCCTCATGGGGTCGGGACATGGCCTGGCACAGCGAGTGCTGCAGGGTTTGTTGTTGCTGAGGCCTCTGCATCTTGTACTAACAGTCCTCCAATCATGTTTATCTGCAGCTGTGCTGACACATCTCTGCACGTCTCTGAAGTGCTGAGATGAACAGGATAGCTGAAGCACTTGCTTGTAGTGGAGATAAATTGCTTTTTTTATACCTTGGAGGGCCTGTGTTAGGGACATGTGTGCATAAGGAAAGCTGAAAGCCATCCCCCATCCCATTGTAGGTGTCTGGATTTGATTTCTTACTGCTAGACCTTAGCACAAAATGAATGAAGTGGTTGGATTTTGTAACCCAGCTGGGCAGGGGTCAGTGCTGCTCTGTGACAGGGATTTTCCTGATGGTGCTGGATGGACTGTATTGTCAGTTTGTTTCCCTTCACGGTTGAAGGGCAGCCTGGGGACTTGCTCATATTTTTCAGTTTGGGGCCAAAGACAGCTGGGTTCAGGAACTCAGAGGAGTTTGCCTGGCATAAATGAGAAAATAATTGACAAAAACATTCCTTAATTGTAAACCACTTGTACTACAGGAGTGGAACAGCTACAAGGTAGCTTGTTTATTTCTTCTGGAGGTTCTGACCTCCATCTGGTAAGTAGCAGTTCAGATCTGTTGGAGAGCTGCTGACCCAAAGGCTGGTGTTTTCTTTGGTGTAATATCAGAAGTATCCTGTTGCACCAGCAGGCTGGAACACAGTGCTGATAAAGTTCATTAGCAAAAATTCAGTATTATCAGGATGTTACTGTCATTCTTCCTGGCTGTGGGCAGCATTGCAGTATGCTTGTTTATGAAGGAGAGTAGACAAATAGGTGGAAGTTGTCATCTCTAAAAACACCACAGCACTTGGTAATGGGGTTTTCAGAATGGTTTGTGGTTGTGATAAAGGGACTAAACATTCCCCACTTTGCATCTCCAGTGGCTTTGCCTTGGGAGGCACAGGGGGAGAACGTGCATATCGTGTTACCTCAGGGGAAATGGTGCACATTCTCCAGAGAAACTGATAATCAAACTGCAAACGTCTGCACAAAACTCTGTGTGAACAGCACTCCCTGAACCTAACTTCTCTGGGGCCAAAATAGCTTCCAAAGGGGAATTTGTGACTTGGCTTCTTAGCATTTTCCTTGAATGGGTAAAAAAGGAAGCACATTAACAAGGATGAGTGCTTGCTGTTAAATCGGAACCATTACAGTATTTTCCCACTGGGGAACTTCCCCATTATCAGGAAATATATTTAAATCCTCCAATCACAAAAGCTGTTTTGTTTTGTTTGTTTTTTTTTTTCATTTAGAAATTTCAGTGCAACATGAAACTCTTCCTAGCCCAGGTGGAAATTCTGGATTAGTTTCTTCAGCTAGGAGCAAGATAAGTTATTTGCCCGGTTTCAGGAGACTGAATAACCATTACTCACACTCCTCAAAATGGAGTAAATACACTGCTATGGGTGAATTCCTTGAATGTTGGGCCTTAAGCAGTGTGTAGCCAACCTTGCACAGATTGCATTAAAGAGCTTTTTCCAACAATTCAAATATTAACTCACTTTCCTCCTGCACATGGGCCTTGTCCAGTGAGACAGATGAACTGCAAATGGCTGTGACAGATTTGATTCTCTCCTGGAGATTTCCTAAGTGATGCAGAAGTAATTCTGCTCACAAGCTGGAGCAAACTGTCAGGGGAGGGAAATGTTTCTACAGTCCAGTTACAGAGAAGATATAATCTCAGGCATGGTACAACAGGTTTTTTCTGCTTGACCTTGTCTTGATTAGAAAGATGGTTTGTGGTTCAAGTGTGGAAAGTGTGTTACCAGACTTTTCCATGCTCTTCACTCCTGGCATTATCAGAAGGTGCTGGCTGGTTATGGCTGGCTTAGTCTGAGCACCCATCCTCCTTTACTTGTTTGCCTGATGTGGTGAACAGTGAAATTGAGAAAATACTGTATGTTTTGGGGCAAGATCTGACAATTTATGATGGGTCTCATAAGTTACTTGTTTGACTGGGCAGTGTTCTGTAAGAGTGCTAGCAAAGGATCAGCCTGAATGGAACTTTGCATTTCTCACTTCTAGAAAAACATTACAATTTTGAACTTGATTTAAAATCAAAAAACAACCCCCCAAAAAGCAAACATCAAAATGACATTAGGGCTTTAGACTAACTCCTCTTTCCTGTTCACCTTCAGGCAGAAATTGTACAGTCCTAGTGCAGAGACTGTAACAATAACAGACACCCCACAGCACCTATAAAGAAACTGAAATTACCTTGTTTTGAGAAACACCCCATGCCTCCATTGTCAGCCCCATGTGTGTCTTTGAGGAGAGTTTTGGGGGTGGGCTTTTCTTGTTTTGGTTTTACTCTGTTCACCAGATATTTGAGAACTGAGGCCCAGTATTCTCAAAGCTGATCCAGCTGCTGGCACTTTCAGAGTTTATTTCATACTGGACTGTCAAGCTTCTGTCTCATTCCTGAACACATGCAGACACTATTTCATACAACCCTTAGTTTGCAAACCTTTCTTTTGAGAGACTGGTCAGTGTGCAAAGAGCACTGTTTGTTTACCTCAATGTGTGAGGGATTTCCTTACTGTCTTTGTTCTGTTCAGTTTATGGATCTGTCAGACTTGGAGGGCAGCATCAAGTACAGCTTTCTTCCTCCAGAGGGAAGCAGCAGAGACTCCAAGGATCCATCAAGCTGTTTGTCTGTCCTAGCCAATGTGGGGAAAACAGTTGTAGTTACCTCCCTGCTCTTGCCTTCTGCAGTAAACACTAACCAAGCCAGACTAATTGAGGAGTGTGTGCTGCCTGTCTGAGATCTGAAGCTCCTGTAAGATGCAGTGCCAAAGTGTTAATGTGCTTTTGTGAATGGAAGCTTTTCTGTGTGTGCTTGAGGTCAGGGGACTTTGATGTGCTCAAAGGAGTGATGGCAGAAAAGCCTGCAGTGTCTGTCAGAGCAGTCCTGGAGGTACCAGGGTAGTAAACACCTGAGACCTTGAAAGGCTGCCTGAAAATTGTTCTCTGAAAAGGACTCTATGTTTTGTCACTCCTGAGGGCTTCTCCACTTCCAGCTGTGAAGTGGGAATATACAAGCTTTTTGTCAGTATCGTGTTGAGAGGCTCAAGACTCTATTTACAATACCTTAAATCTTGTATCCTTCTTTCCCTCTCCTTCCATCTTCCTGGTGAGTTGCTCCTCCTAAGTTGTAAAGTGTTCAACGGTGCCTTGCTACATTCCAGTGCTTTTAACTCTCCTTTAACCGTGGAAGGATATAATTCCTGGAATTTGTAACAGGTGAATTTACACTCTTCAGTTTGTGCTGTTTACTAAAAGACAAAGATCACCAGCTGGGGACAGAACTTACTTAAACCATGTCAGTCTCATGGCAGCAGGAGCAGTAACATCCCAGCTCTTTGACAAGAGCTAAAAATCAGGGTTGGGGAAGCACCTTCCTGAAAGGACTCACCTGACTGCAGAGGGGATAACAGAAGTGCAAGCTTGAGCCATGCTTGTTTTTTTCCTACCCAAACTCCTGGAGGAACAGAAAGTAATTCTGTGTGATTGTCACATGGTTTGTGGTTGTCACAGCAATTTACAGTTTCTATCAGGAAATAAACCAAGGTATTTAACAGGTATTGGCTGCCAGTCATGCCCTTTCCTACCATGCAGTAAGGTCCTACACTCTGTCAAAGCTGCTTGTCCTTTTGTGCTTTTTCTATTTGCCCCAAACCATTCTCTCTGTTCGAGCAGCCAGGAACCCTCACTGCCAGGTCAGAAGCAGAGGTGGGTCTCAAAACCTCTCTAAATAAGTGTGCAGCACAAAAGGTAAAGTAAGGTTTTAAGGTGTAATTCATCCTAAGTCTGAGCTGTGGCTTGCTGAGCAGATGAAGAAGGATGTGTTTGAGTGGTATAAATTTTTCAAAACTGCTGGAAGGAGACAAGAAACAAACATAGTTCAGAGGGTGTGAATTTTGCCTGCCTGGAATATCCTATATCTTTGCTTTGCTCAAATAGCCTTATGTATGAAGCACTTTATTCAAATGCAGGAATTAAAGAACTATTACAGCTGGTAGACTGGAAATGTTTACAGATCCTACATGACATTCCAAGATTCTATCTGTAAGTGTTACATGTTGTAAAAGTGTTTGAAAAAAGGAAAAAAAACAAACCCAACTTGTGTAAGAAGTTACATATGTGATGTGTTATTTCTGGCATGATTGGATTAAACTTGTGCTGCCCACCATGCTGGGTTGGGCTGACATCAGTGCTGAACAGTCACCTGCTCCTGCCCTGGGACAAAGCCTGCAGCCCTAGGGGATGGAACTTTGTAACAGAAACTTGCTGGAAGTTTAATTGATTCAGACATTTTTACCTGAAATGCTCAGATAGTTTGACTTCACAGCAGGAGCTGCAACAGTGAAAGTTAGGCTGAGACAGGACTGTACATCTACCTCTGGCTTGTGCTTTCTTAACTCCCATAACCTCACACTGCCTTCAGCTGGAGGATCCTGAAGGAATCTCTGGTTTGAACTTTTCAAAAGGTTTTCACAGCACTATTACAACAGAACAACACATGCTTTTACTAAAAAATTATTTTTAATAATAATAAAAAAAAAATACACCCATAAGGGAAAAGCTTAAGCCACTAAAAAGGGTTAACACTTAAGTTTTTAATAGCTGTGATCACATAACCACCAAAGCCTACCACAACCAGGGACTTCACAGCATGGAAAGTCTTGCTACTTTTATTTCTGCTCTAAGAAAACCCCTTACTTTCCTTACTTTGCAGCAACCTGGAAAATAAGTGTTGTTTTCTGGAGAGCTGAGCAAGTAGACCTTCATAAGTCACAAGGATGCTGTAGCCCAATGTGGGCTGAATGCTTCTGCTTTCTTAAACTTCCTCCACTTCTTTCAGGCTGTGCTCCAGGATGGTGTCTTGTCCCTGGAACTTAAAATAGCCACGAAACAACTTTCTCTGAAGCACCAGGGGAAACCAGTAGCTGTCATCTGGCCACATGCGATGGAAGGGCACCTCGTCCAGCTGAAACCACTGGGGCCGCATTTCTGGTGGCACAAAACAAAAGAATTCTGCATGGGACTTGCTCATGGATTTTTGCTGCCTACACTCTGAATATTGGTCAACAAGCAGCTTCCCTCTACAGCCCAGCTGCCTTCCATCTGGGAGGCATTTTAGCGTGAATAGTTCTCCATTTCATAAGGGCAATGCTGCCTCAGAAGAGCATGCACATCCTTCCTTTCCCCACACCAGCCACCTACCCTCACTTTCTGTAGGCTCTCCATGAAAGTGATCTGCCCGGAAAATGTGAACGTCCATGAGTTCAGAGTTGCCTACAAATTCAAATGTGATCTGACCCATCTTCTGCAAGGTGTCCACAGTCAGTCCACTCTCCTCCAGGAGCTCCCTGCACAAGAAAAAGACTTCTTACAAGAAAGTGAGCATTGGGAGGACAAAAATGCAGTCATCAGCTTTACTCACACGTTTAAAACCCTTCCAGTGAACCAAAGCTGAAAGCTCTTATAGTACAAGAGAGCAGGGTTCTGACTACAACACCACAGGTGGGATTGTGTGTTATTTCAGGCTCCTGAGCCTGGCAGGAAAACACTCTGTGTTGGAAGGGGAAGATTCAGGAAAATGGATCATTTAGTAGAATTTAGTCCTTGCAACATGGAGCTCTTCTCTGAGGTAAGGGAGAAGTGGGTATGTGACCTCATGTGACTGTAGCTGGGTGTGGCTTCAGAACTCCAAGACACGCGTCATTTAGAGAGGCAAAAGGCTTTGCCAACTTCAAGCTGAACCTTTTAGAATTGTGAAGCAGGTCATGAACACCAGAAAGAACATCTATACCTGCTACACAATCAGCTACTTCTGAGGCAAACTGAAGCTTAGTTAAATTACACACTCCATAACACCATTTGCACACAGAAGGCTGAGAATTCCAGTTCCCATTCAAATGCAGTGTAAAAAACACAAAGCAATTGTGCAAACTTTGCCTTTCTGCTCCTTGGAAGCACATTGAGCATAACGAGAGGCCAGAAGGCAAGACTTTTAAGAGCACTTGGAGAGCTGTGCCAGTTCTTTTCCATGCACCACCATGCACAGCTACTTGAAGCACATTCAATTATTTCCTCTTTTTATGCTCTGCGCTCAGAGATTTTTTTATTTTACCTCCCTCTAACAGAAGCAGCATGGATTGAAGTTAGTCATGGTTTTTCTAATGTACAAAAATAAGGAATACTCTGAAACTGTGTATCTTTAGTCATAGTTAATAATTAATGTAGTTGCCTATTTGGCAGGAACAACAATTTTAAAATGTAATGGAAATTATTTTAAGGCTCCAGCTTTCTTTGGCATTGGTTTCATGGATCCCATCTTTCAAAATTATACTTCAAGTTAATGTCTTGGCTAATTTTAGTTTATCTTCTGAGAAGCTATCTATGTCTAAAATAGAGGCAGTTTTCCAGCAATGACTCTAAAAGCCTCCTTTTACAGGCACTGATAATTGAACAACAAAGCACAACACTGCTACAGTTCTCCAGGCAATTTATCCATCAGCTGCTTGGCTCTGTCTGTAGCAAGTGGAAACGTTACAGGGGGCAAACTAGAAATAACTCATTCACTAAATGCTCCCCTTACAAGCTGTGCCACTGAGGACCTGCCCAGGTGCTCGTGGGAATGTGCTGTACACAGCAGAAGATGGAAATCTTGCTGGTACTGGGAACTTTTGTTCATGTTTTGGCTTAATATTTAACTACCTGTGCTGAGGCTTCACACCTGCTGCCTCTGACAACTCAACTAAGAGAGAGCAACGTGGAACCACAACCTCAGACCTCAACTGCCAGTGCAGAGTGGAAGTGCTACAAGGGAAGTTTGGAGTGTGTGATGCTCCCTGCAGCAGAGCTGTGCCCCGAGGCAGCACTGCACCAGCAGTGCTCCAGCCAGCAAGGTGGCCAGCATGTCCAGCTGCTCCTGGCTCTGGGGACAGCTTCCTGCCCAGCTGACCTCTGCAGGAACTTGTGTCATTCTGGAGTAAACTGCACGTGAAGGGATGGGGACAGTCCCCAGCAGCAGGTACTGGCTGTGCTGTGGCACATCGCATTTGGATTGAGGAAAATTTTAGCACTTGACATCTTGTGTGAATAGAGGTGCCGCTGTCAAACCAGCACAGGTAAACACAGAAGGAAATCAAATGCTACATTAAATCATTAGATTTATCCCACAGCCAGCGGCAGGTAAGTCTAGCAAATGTTAAGTGACAAAACTGTGTCCCTCCCTCCACTCAGAGATGATAAATCACACGAAAAACCACAATGAAGTGTCAGGTACGTTAAGGCCGTGTGCTGCTGGGAGCACATCTGCACAGAGACCCTTCTGTCCCTGGTCCCAGCTCACCACAGAGCCTGGCTGTTGTGTGGCACAGCTGAGGAGGCTGTTGAGGGCAGAAGCTGTTGGGAACCAGCTGAGCACACCACGACTGATCTTCCTGCAGGTGCAAGGGCAGCTTTGGGCATGTTATCAGAAACTGAGGAGATGGCAAAACATGGCTTTGTATCAGCAACATTCATGTAAAGAACAAGGTACCTAATTTTTAGAGGAATTTAGCAATTCAGCTGTGATTTGCTACTTCATTTTAATGACCAGACAGATGAAAGAACTACAAGAAATCAGTACTAAAGGGTTCAGAAATTACACTCTGCCTTTTTACTGATGAGATTCAATTCCACAACTCAGCATTAGCACTTGAAAATGTCACACAATACAATCAAATAATAAGCAGTTTGGCTAATTATTTAAATTAAATTAGCTATATATTAATTATACTAATTAATAAATTATTATTTATTATTATATCAGGATTATTATCATAATAGTAGAATTATTAATTCTGGCTATTAATTCTGCTATATAGCCAAAATTAAACCCTGCACCTCTCTGAAGATTGCAAGAACCTCTACCCACCACCCAGACTCATTCTCAGTTTAGATCAGAGCCCAGGAGATGGGAAGGAGGATACAGGAAGTTCCAGCTGCTCACAGAATGCATGAATTTAAGATATGCAAAGGTGATGATTGTTTCTCTTGTGCACAGAAACAATCCTGTTTCTCTGTACATGTGGATGATCCCTCATCACCTGTGGAGCAGGTGTTCAGAGCTGGGTTATGAGTAGGTAACACGAGGGTGTCACTGACCAGACGAGCCATGGTATCTCCACCTGCAGCCCACTGCCGATGGTCCAACAGCTCCACCTGTGCCCCCATACCTGTCCCCGTGGCGCCAGCCCGGCCCTCACCTGCGGGCAGCCTCCTCGATGCTCTCCCCGGGCTGCACCTTCCCCCCGAAGCCGTTCCACAGCCCGGCGCCGAAGCCGCGCTTCTTCATGCCCAGGAGGACGCGGGACGGCTGCACCACCAGGACGAGGGTGAAGAGCCTGGACGTGTGCATGGCTCCTGGCTGAGGGACGAGGCGGGCACGCTGTGCCAAGGGTTCCCGGCCCCGTTCCGAGAGACCCGGGGGTGCAGAGCCCCTCAGCCCCCGAACACCCTCCCCAGTGCCCGATCCGTAAACCCGGGTCCCCCAGCACCTCTCCCAATACCCCAGTATCTCTCCCAATATCTGCCTCTCTAACGCTCCCACTGACCCTCACTCTCCTGCTACCTCTGCATCCCGTTCCCAAAGTTTGATCCCCCATTCCCAAATCCTTGTTTCCCCAATGCCTTCCTCTGAATCCTGAACACCCTCTCCCATCACCCCTGACTCCCAGCACCCCATTCCCAAATCTTGGATCCCCTCCGCAAATCCCTGTCCCCCCAGATTCACCGACCACCTTCAACACCCCTTCCCCGAACCCCTGAGCCCCCAGAAACCCCTCCCCAAATCTCCGATCCGCTCTCCCTAAATCCTTGTTCCTCCTAAACTCCCTCCCCGAATCCCTTATCACCCTCAACACGTCCTCCCCGAACCCTTGACTCCCAGAGCCCCTTCCCCAAATCGCTGATCCCCCATCCCAATCCCTGACCCCCCTGCACTCCCATCCCCGTCCCCGCGCACCTCAGCCCCACACTCGCAGCCTTCCCGCCCGCCTCGGTGTCGCCTCAGCGCGGCCCGTGCCCGCTCTCCCCGCGCCGCCGCCGCCCCGCCCGCGGCCGCCGTGAGGGGAGGCGGGCCGGGGCGGGCCGAGGCGGCCATGGCGGGCCCGGGCGGAGCTGTCATTGCCGGGGGCAGGTGCGTGGCGGGGCTGCTGAAGCGATCCCAGCGCCCACGAGGGGGATGGTGGGGTGCCACTAGTGCCCGCGCCTGGAGTTTTCCTCGGGAACGGGATTATGCGCTTTTGGGTTTTAGGTTAAATCCGCTGGCGGCTCCGCCCGAGCAGGGGCCGTGGCTCTTGGTTGCTCTTCCAGGGGTTCGGGCATCCCTCCGTTCCTCTGAGGGGCTCACGGAGGACACCGGCCCCGCTGAGGCAGCTCGGGAGTGCTGGGATCACTCTGCCGTGTCGTGTCCTTTAAACATCTGAGCAGAAGCAGGAGTGGGATTGCTTTCCCCCCTTAGCTCAGGATAACACGTGAGGCCTCATCCAAAATCTGACACTGCTGTTGTGATAGGACCTGATAAGTTAAAGTGCCAAACTCTCAAATGTGGGGGCTTCTTTTTAGAATCAGAGAATGGTTTGGGCTGGAAGGGACCTCTGGAGACCCTCTGGCCCAATGACCCTGCCAAGGCAGGGTCACCTGGAGCAGGTGACATAGGAATGTGTCCAGCCGTATTGAGAATGTTTCTGGACAGGGAGACTCCACACCCTCCCTGGCTGCCTGTAGTGGCTGGGAGGAATTACTATAGAGACTTTTGAATTACAGAGTGGGTGGTTATTTACTAACTGATTGACTTGCCTCTCTTCCTGGCTTTGGATGAGCAGATGCCTGCACACCACGGTGAAGTTTCTGAGGAAAACTGGAACTAAGCAAAGGTGGTTGGAGCGGCACTTGAAGGATCCCTTTGTCAAGGCATCGAAGCAGCAGCAGTACCGGTGCCGAAGTGCCTTCAAGTTGCTGGAAATTGATGACAAGCTCTGTGTTCTTCATCCAGGATTTTCTGTTCTTGACTGCGGAGCAGCACCTGGTGCTTGGAGCCAGGTTGCTGTAGAGAGGGTCAATGCCTTAGGTACTGGTAAGTGCAATTTTTTGGCAGGCAAGATGGGGATGATACTTCTCTTGAAGTGTGTGAGAGGTTTGTGAAATACTACGGAATCTAAATCGAAATACTGTGAAATCAAGGAAATATTAGGATGATAACAGGATGGAGAGGGGACATGGGTACTGGCAAGTGCCAGAGTCACTGATAAAAACATGAAGGGGTGAGCCTGGTAAATCTTCATATAGAGAAATTGTGTTTATGAAATAAAACATACCATGTGGCGCTAGTGATCTGATTAGTTCTTGTGGGGAAGATCCCTTCACCCAGTTCTGAAATTGATGTGACCTTTGGCAATTACCTTGGCTTATTTGAAACATTGTTTCCTTTCTCAAAAAATGGAAGCAACTGTTTCACATGGTGTATATGGGTGAAACATTGATATTTACAAACTGAGGTGTTATCATCTGCACCAGGATTTCTAGACTGTCGGCCTTGTAAGAGCAGCAGAAAACCAAGAAAAATCCTCCTTGTTTAGCGAAAGGAGCTGAGTTTTTGTCTTGAACAGATGAGCTTATGGCAAATCCTCCATCCAGATGCACCCAGCAAACTGCCAGGGGACGAGAAGGCAGCTCTGGCAGGGGGTGGGTGGGTTGTATCTACTGAGAGGCACAGAGCTCGTGCATGTGCAGGTTTTTGCAGCCACTCTGAGCGTTCCCTGTGTCATTCATCCTTACAGATGCTGCTGTCCCCACTGGCTTTGTGCTTGGCGTTGACCTGCTGCGGATTTCTCCTCTGGAAGGAGCAGTTTTCCTGTCGGAGGCTGACATGGCAGAGCCCAGCACGCTGAGGGCCATCCAGAGCCTGCTTCCCTTGGGGAAGGCAGATGTCATCCTGAGTGACATGGCGCCCAACGCCACGGGCATTAAAGAGCTGGATCACCAGAAGCTGATCAGTCTGTGCTTAGGTCTCCTGGATATAGCCCAAAGCATTTTAAAGCCAAAAGGAACGATGCTCTGTAAATTCTGGGATGGATCCGAGGCCCGCCTGCTGCAAAACAGACTGAAGGAGCAGTTCCAGGATGTGAGAACTATAAAGCCTCAGGCCAGCCGGAAGGACTCTGCAGAATCTTATTACTTGGCAAGGCTGTACAGAGGGAAATGAAAGTCATGAGCTGCAGATTCTGTGAATTTGACTGGAAATCTCAGTTTAGTGTGTGTTTAAAGGAAAATCCCACCATTCAGACCTTGGGGAAGTTTGCTACTCTTCTTTAAGTCCGTCACGCTTTTCAAATACTTGTGGACAAAATGGTTGGGAATGGAAAGGAATAATCTGAAAGGCAACCTCTGGGGCTGGAGTAATGGAAATGGAAATAAAACACTGATTATATGAGTTTTTAATGTGTGCCTGAATACCATTGCACAGTTAATGCTGTCATACATGAGACTGGCCATAAAGGTGAATGTTAGAACGTGAGGGAGCAGCAAAGGGGAGTTTGAGCCAATTCAGTGCCTTGAACAGAAAATGTTTCTGTGCACATCAGGATCTGCATCCTCATGCAGGGTGTGTAACACAGCCATGTGAGAGGCACGGCTGGCTTGGGAATGTTCATCCCCATGGCTCTGCTGCCTCTCATGCACATACAGGTTATATTTAGGAATTGCTGCTTCCTGGCACTCATAAATCCAGTCAGTGGCAGTGGGACAGGGTCATGGCCATGCAGATCATCCCCCCAGTGCTACCTAGGTGTGGCCAGCAGTGTTTCTCAGGCAAAAAGACAAGATGTTCCTAAGATCCCAGCAGGGAGAATGGCTGAATTGCCGGAAATCTGCTCGCACAAATAAATCCAGCCACTGCCTTATCTGAAAGTGACAAATTTTATATTAAACAGCGCTTTTATCAGGCTGACCGTGGCATGAGTTACATGAGAGGCTGTCTTTAAGACTCCAGGGCCTTCATCATCATGACAAAGCGGCTGCTGGCGGGATGGGTGCCGGGGCGGGCGGGCTCGGGGGGATTTTGGGCGCCGGGCGGAGCTGCCGCGCTCCCGCCGCTCCCGGCCATTACGGTAGCGCGGAGCGCTGCGCGCGTAGCGCCGCCGTTACGGCCGCCGGCGCCGCCGCTCTCGCGAGAGGCGGGGGCGCAGTTCCCGCGAGATCCCGTGGCCGGGGCGAGGAGGGAGATCCAAGCGGGGCGCGCGGCGGTGAGCGCTGAGGGCGGGACGGGGAAGGGGCACGGACGGGGGGAAAGGGAGAGGAGGAAGGCTCCGGCCGCGCCCGTCACAGCCCGCTCTTCCCCCGGCGGAGTCGTGCGGGCGAACCCCTCGGTGCCCGGGGCTGCCCCGTGCCCGCCGCGGCCGCTCTCGGTGTTCGCTGCCCGCCGCGGGTCCTGAGGGAGCCTTGGCCACGGGGGTTCCTGAACCGGCTCCCACACCTAATTAATGCCTTCTTAATTACTGATAGGGTTGAGAAGGGGCTCGCTGGAGCTGCCTGCCCGCAGGTGCGTTGGTGCTCCAGCGCTCGGTTTGGGTTTTGGCAGATCTGTTGCTTCTGCTCGTGGTGCTGTAAATGCAAGCAGTGGCTGCGCTGTGACCCCGGGGATGCGGGAGGCAGCCCCAGCTCTGCGCTGCAAGCCGTGTGGATGTTGTGGCTGCCTTTCCTGGTGCTGGACCTTTTCCGGTGTTTCTGGGCATTTATGGAACGTGCAGGCACTGCAGGGACTCACTTAAGGCTCCTAAATTTCCTAGGAAACCTTGCAGGCTTTTCTGAGCTCCACCCTCGATTTATCTTTGGCCTTTTAGTTAGTACCCTTCTGAATTGGAAGGAAGAGCTACATCTCATCGTGTGAATAGTGAGATGCAGTTTCACTTACACAAGTGATCAGTGGACTTGGGAAGACTTCTTGTTGGAAATTAGAGTCCAGAGTGCTTCTGGGAAACCAGAAACACGTTGTGTAGCAGGAAGGGTTTGCTGCTGCTGTGGGGTTAGTTCTGCTCCCATCACCTTCAAAACTTAGCGGAAGGAACAATGAGTTTGTTTTGGTCGGAGAAGAAAAGGTCATCTTGCATCTTTTTCTCATTTCAGAGAAAATTACAACTTCAGCCTGGGTGGGGTCATGTTTTCTGTGGGTCCCAGCAGTGATTTGCAGGTTGCTTTTACCCTGTAAATGGAAAGCCCTCGTGTTTATTGTTTCCTCAGGGCAGTGATGGATGCCTCTTTAGCACAGCAGCTTGCTTTGGGTGTTTTGCTGATGATTTTGTGTCCATTTCTAGAGCCATGGAGGACTTGGAAAATAATACCACTGTCTTCTCCACCCTGAGATCCCTCAACAACTTCATTTCACAGCGTATGGAGGGAGTGTCTGGGCTGGCTACACCAGGATCTTCTCAAAGCTCCTTACAGATGCAGTACCAGCAGAGGATGCAGGTGAGGAGTCCTCACCTTGGTGATTGATTCCTGCAGCATCACTCCAGTGTGGTTGTGTGCTCCTTTTGATTCCAGGAGCTGGGAATTTCATTCAGATCTGACCGTTCTTTCTGAAATTGACATTCTGAAACTGACATTCTGATATTCACATTCTGAAACCGACATTCTGATATTCACATTCTGAAACTGACATTCTGATATTGACGTTCTGAAGTTGACATAAAGAAATAAAGGAAGCTTGCTGTCACCATTCTGGAATCTTTTCCAGAATATATTTAATTTTTTTTTTACAGCGTCAGACAGGTTTATTTTAGTTTTGTAAAAGTTTAAGAAAGGTCCTTTGAATTTATTCCCTGCTAGTTATATCTGTGTACCAACCAGTTCAGGAAATTAAATTGTGAATTGCTTTAATACTGCTGAACAAAGGAGCTTTATATCTTAACATTTTTCTAGTAAGAGACTTTGTTACCTTTTTTCAGGATTTAAAGGCTTCTTTGCCTGGACACATCCAGGAGACTTGCATTGAGCTGTGCTTTGATATGCAAACCAGTTGTGCTTTCTTATCCACCTGGGTTATTTACTTTTTGTTTTCTGTTAGCTGCTTCAGGCTCATAAAGCATAAAGTAAATTGACATCTTAGATCCCAGGGACTGTTTGTTAGGCTGGAATGAAGTTTCTCTATTCTGTATCTTAATATAATTTCTATTTCAGCCTCTACGTATGAAATAAGTTTGTTTTTTTTAATGTAAATCTGCTTTGCATTTGGAATGTTGACAAAAATTTAAGCTTTTTCTGTCTGTGCTAACTCTCTGGTGGCAGCAGTAGTTGCAGGAGGCTCTCTCTGCTTAGTCTCCATTGGCTGTGTGTTGGATCTCCAGGATTTGAGCAATTCTGTTAGTATTGTCTGTGCTGTCAGGTAATTAGAATGAAAAAATGAAGTATTATGTTGTAGAGGTCATGGAAAAATGTGTTATTTTGCTCAACAGCTACTTTTATTGGGAGCATGGTCTGTGCTTCTTAGGCTTGGGGAGTTCATAATTAGCTTTTTAGATAGAGACGTAGATTTTGTCAGGCTACATCTAGAGATTGAGAAATTCTGACGTAAGAGCCAGGAATTCGTTTCTTTCCAATTCTCCTTGGTTTGCTGTGGGTTTCTGAGTGTGGTGTTGAACTCTTTTTTTCCTTATCTACAGCTGCTGTGAGAGGTACCACAAATGTGGTGATAGTTTGTAAAATGGCAGGTTAATGTGAGCTGAGCAGCACAGGGCACGATGATACTGCTGTGCTGTTAATGGTGTCAATGTCCCTTTTCACACATGAACTGGGCAGCTGGAGGAGCAGGCTGGGCAGATCCACTCCAAATCCCAGCTGCTGCAGGTGGAACGGGAGAAGATGCAGATGGAGCTGAGCCACAAACGAGCTCGCATCGAGCTGGAGAAGGCCGCCAATACCAATGCCAGGAACTATGAGGTGAGTGGGATGTTTGCCCATGGCTTGGGAGCGTTGGCCTAAGCCAGAACACATGGAGATAATTTACATCAGTGGTTTGGTTCAGGGATGTGCTGTGGTCTGTCTCAGAATGTTTATAGTTACTCTCTTTTTGGAGTGAAACTAAACTGAAAGGTGCACTCCAGGAGCAAGCCTGGTGTTCTCCAGCTGCTAATAGACACTGTCTTCAGAGCAGGACTTCAGTGAGTCTGGAATGCATTTACTGTGTTTGCATTTGCTGCAGGTGTGGGTGTCAAGTTGCCAGCACCAGTGCAGCTACAGAACTGCTCTGCAGGTCCCCTCTCAGTGCACTGCACTAACTTGCTAATGTGCACAAGAGTGTGAACTTGAAGCCTCCTTAGGTTCACAGGCTGATGGTCTGATCACTGGACTCTGTTAGTTTAGCACTGAAGTTGTCATGGGTAGCAGTAACAAAAGGGATTTGTTATATGTTTCTCCCAGAAGTATTTAATAATTTTTCTCCTAGAGGGTTTAAACTTCTGCTGGCACAATTGCCAGCATTTGGTTTGTGTGACTGTAATTAATTGGAATGGCAGCAGTTCCAGCCATGCAGTGTCACGCAAGAGAGCCTGCACTGATAAAGCAGTGAGCCTCACTCAGGGACTAATAGCTTTTATTGGGTTCTGCTTTTCTGCCCACATATGTTTGCTTAACGACGTTACTGAAATAAGCTGTGGATCAGTGGCTTTTGTAGCATAATAAAAGTCTTCTATGTGGCTGATTATTGAAAAAGAAATCTGTGAAAAATAATAAGTGTGTTTTGTTGTATTTTATGAGGGTGACACATTTAGTGTGTGGTTGTGAAATAAGGAGTCAGTGATTAAATTCCTCCTTCCTCTGAAGTAAGGTGATGTAGGATTAGGCCAGGAAGAGTTCAAGCTGGAATGTAGCTGAGTCAGTCACAGAAACCCTTGAAATACTGGTACAAAACAAGGGAGCAGCATTAATCCAGCACTGTGGTAATTACCCTGCTCAGATTCTGTGTTTTTCTGAGTCATGTGGATAAAGGTTTTAGGAACCTCACATTGCTTTGCATAATCCTTGCTTACTATGCAAATCCGTGTCTCCATTTGCTTTGATTAGCAAAGCAATTTACTATGCATTTTTTCAATAAGTATCATTCAATTTGTGGTAGGAATAAACTGGAATGGTATATGAAAGGTTGTCAGACTTCAAAAATATTTATCGTATTAATTGAAAATATTTTCTTTTAAATGGCCTCAATTCCAGAAGTTGCAGAGGGAAGTTTGTTTTATTCACCCAGCTGTTGAGGGCTGAGTTTCTGAAAGTCAGTTTGCTGTGCGTGGGTCAGCTTTAAATTGGAGATTGAATGTTTTCATCTTTGATCTACTGGAGAGTGTGCAATGGAGCCTGTGAAGGCACATCTGTATTCTCACAGTCATGTCTTAGTGAAAGAGATTTGGAATACGTGGTCTCTTAATTTTCCAGCTCCATTTC